ACAGTCCGGGGGGCGGTGCCGTAGGAGCCGCCGACTGCCATCGGGCTGAATCCGATGCTTGTGAGGGCGCGGCGATGGACATCAACTCCAGGAGGCCCGGTGCCATGGAGGGGAGAGACGCCTGAGTAAACGTCTGAGAGACTCCACATAGAAAGGGGGTACGGCACCGGTACCACCAGGTGGGGGGCTGGCAAGGAGCTGGGCTGCACCGAAGATCGAGCGCGGCCCGAAACTGACCGGGACTGGCGAACCGGCGTCGAGAACGGTGCCGTGGTAGCGATCGGTACTGACCCCACATGGGGTGGTCCCGACGCATGGGTTGCCTTAGCATGCCGACCTGGGCCATGCTTGGGCGAAGTTGTAAGCAGTTGAGCTTCTGGCGAGGGGGATCTCGACCCTTCCGTCTCAACCGACGACGGAGGGGAGGTCGTGAGGCTAATGAGGTCTTGGGCCATTTCTGGCGAGGGGGATCTCGACCCTTCCGTCTCAACCGATGACGGAGGGGAGGTCGTGAGGCTAATGAGGTCCTGCGCCGCTTCAAAAGTGTCCGGTGTGGACGGTCGGTGCGAAGGGAGGTGACCGGGGCTATCGGGGGTCTCCCCGCCGACTGCGGTGTGCCATAGGTGATGTGTGCACCAGTGAGCCAGCACTGCCGTGCCTGACTGAGGCCGACTTTTTTGCCGGGGACCGTCCGCGGGACTTTTTCACCCTCTTGGATGGGGGAGAATGAGACCGGTGCCGAGACTTCGACGCCGACGCACAGTGCCGGTGAGGGGCCTCACGCGTGGAAGCCGGTGCACTGCGCACCGTAGGCTGTTCCGGCGGCACCGGTTGTAGTGCTGTCTCCATGAGGAGAAGCTTTAGGCGGGAAACTCTTTCTTTCCTCGTGCGGGTCGTAAAAGACTTACAGATCTTGGAAGCAATTGCAAGAAGAGCTTCACCCAGGCACTTAAGGCAACTGTTGTATGGGTCACCTCTGGGCATAAACTTCCGGCAGTCAGTGCACACCTTGAAGCCTTGCGGCCCTGGCATTCCTCACCCCCAGAGGGGGGAAGGATAAAACAAAGAACCTAACTATCTAACTAATAGAACTATTTACAGATAAGTGATAGAATGGGAACCATTAACTAACTAGAGACTAAGAGAGACAGAGACGCTCCAACGACCGTCACGGCGGTAAGAAGGAACTGAGGTGGGGCAGCGCCGGCAGGGGTACTTATGCCCCGCCATGGCGGCGCCACTCCAGGGGGTGCCCTGCCGGCGCTACGGATACCGCTAGGGAAAACGCTCCGGAAGATGCGGTGCGCACACCTACTTCGAATGGACATGAGCAACCACTCGAAGAAGAATATAGGGCCTGTTCCTTAGGGGAGCAGTGGGGCTTCAGAAAGAAGACCGGTAAATATATGCCCTGTGACATATGGAACAAGGAAACTACTTTGGAAAGGACGGCTGGGTGGGAGTGTAGCCTGACCCTATCTGCGGAGAACGCTAGGTAAGGAGGTTCTACAGTCAGAGCCCTGAGCTCAAACACCCTGTGCGCCAAAGTAATGGCTACTATAAAGGCCACCTTGAGTGACAGGTACTTAAGCGAGCATGTGGCTAGCGGCTCAAACGGGAGAGACATAAGTTTAGTAAGTACCAGGATAAGGTACCACTGAGGCACAGGTGCCTATACGTGTGGAAACAACCTGTTGAGACCTTTGAGGAACCTCTTAACCACCTGGTTAGTAAACAGGGATCTGTTGCCCACCCCAAGGTGGAAGGCCAACAAGGCTGCCAAATGGACCCTGATAGATGAGGAAGATATGCCTGCTTGGCACAGCTCAAAGAGGTAGTCAAGGACAGCCGGTATCGGGGCTGAGCAAGGGTCTACTTACCTCCTGGCTGCCCAAAGGGAAAACCTTTTCCATTTTGCTGCATAGGATGACCTGGTAGCCGGTTTTCTGCTCCCCAGCAGAACCGCCTGCACACCCTCAGAACATGCAAGCTCTGGCTCTGTCAGCCATGGCTAAGCCAAGCTGTCAGGAGGAGGGATCTGATGTTAGGGTGATAAAGGAGACCTCCCTCCCAGGTCTGCAGAACGAGCGGGAGAGGTCATGGCTTGTCCCACACCATTTCCAACAGGATGGGATACCAGAACTGTCTGGGCCAGTCCGAGGCTATCAGGATGACCCGAGACTTGGACTTCCTGATTTTGGCTAGAACCGTGGGAATAACGGGGAACCAGAGAAAGGCATACAGCAGGCCCTGTGGCCAAGGTGTGACCAGGGCATCCTCTTTGGATTCCATTCCCATGCCCAGGAATGAGAAGTAACCAGGGCACTTCTAGTTTGCCTCTGTGGCAAACAGGTCCACCCGGGGATGACCTCACTTCTGGAAAAGAGGTAGAAGAACTGCGTCCTTCAGGCACCACTCATGGGCTCTGAAGGACCTGCTCAATGCGTCTGCCAGTGTGTTCTTGCAACCTGGCAGGTATGCTGCCTGGAGACGAATGTTGTGGGCTATGCAGAACTCCCACAGGAGAACTGCATCCTGGCAGAAGGGAGAGGAATGAGCCCCCCCCATTTGTTTATATAGAACATGGCTGCCATGCTCTCCAGTAGTACCAACACAGATTTCCCCGAGAGATTGGCTAGGAAGACCTTGCACGCCCTTCTGACAGCTCTCAACTCCCTGAGGTTTATATGTAGGTCTCTCTCTCAAGAGCATCCCACAGCCCTTTTATCCTGTGGTACGCCATATGTGCATATGCCCCAACCCTTGGGACATCGGTTATTAGCATGACCGAGAGGACCTCCGTCAGAAAAGGCACCTCCTTGCACACCTTGTCCTCTCGAGTCTACCATTGCAAGGAGCTGACCACCTCCTGAGGCAACGTCAGAACGGAGTCCTAATGAAATCTGGCCTGGTTGAAAGACTTCGCTAGCCAGGCCTGCAGCGATCTGAGTCTCGACCTGCCGTGCCGAACAACATATGTGCAGACTGCCATATGCCTGAGCAATTTCATACAAGTCCGTGCCGTAGTGAGCAGGGACAGCATCAGGCTGTGCACCATGGAAGCCATCGCCAGGAATCTGGCCTTGGGGAGGTAAGCCCGCCCCCTTCTGGCATCTATGTAAGCCTCCATGAACTTTATGTCCCGAGAAGGTGTTAAGAATGACTTTTCCTCATTTATCATGAGCCTGAGCTCCCTGAAAAGGGCCCTTGTAAATGATATATGGGTTACCACCTGGTCCCTGGACTGGCCTCAATTGAGCCAGTCGTCCAAGTACGGAAAAACCTGTACCCCATGTCTTCTAAGAAAGGCCACCACAACAGCCATACATTTTGTAAAAACGCTTGGGGCATTGGAAAGCCCAAAGGGGAGCACGGTAAACGAAGTAATTCTGCGCCACTATGAACTGGAGGAATCTCCTGTGAGTTGGCTGAATGGTCACATGAAAATAGGTGTTCTTTAAATCGAGGGGCGCATACCAGTTCCCTATTTCTAGGGCCAGAATGATGGAGGCCAGCGTCACCATCCTGAACCTCGTTTTCCTTATCCATCTGTTGAGGTTTCTGAGATCCATGATAGGCCGGAGCCCACCCTTCGGCTTGGGGATAATAAAATAATGGGAATAGACCCCCTCTGCCCTCCAAGTGAGGTGGAACCCTTTCTACTGCTCCTTTTTCGATGAGCGAGAGGACCTCCTGATGGAGCAGGAACTCATGACAAGGGTCCCTGAAGAGGGACTGGGAGGGAGGGAGGGACTGGGAGGGAAGGTGGCAAACTGAGAAAGGGGATGGAGTAACGCATCCTTACCAAGCCCAGCACCCACTTGTCGGAAGCCCAGCACCCACTTGCTAGGATCTGTTGCACTAACAGCGAAGCTCCAACGACCATCACAGGCGGTAAGAAGGAACTGGGGAGGGGGAGCGCCAGCAGGGGTATTTATGCTCCGCTATAGGGGGAGTGCCACTCCATGGGGCGAACTGCCGGCCCAATGGGTACCACTGGGGAAAAAACACTCTGGAAACTGTGCACGTGGTCCGCGCACACCTCATTCAAATGCACGAGCAATCACTCGAAGAACTAACGTAAATGTCTGTAATCCAGGAAGTGAAGGTACAATCTAGCTCAGAGACGGGTAATAGTTTTGAATGGGGACTGCTTTAAGAATTTTTTAAGTAGTCATGATATCAATGGAGGAACTGCAGGGTCAGGGATGGAGGTTGGGTGCAGAAGGGAGCTCGAGGCAGGGGACTGGGGTGCAGGAGATGGTGTGGAGTCTTGGAAGGGAATTGCGGTGAAGGAGGGGTTGAGACCTAGGGCTGGGAATTGGGGTACAGGAGGCAGTGCAGGGTCTGGGAAGTGGGTAGGAGGCTGCTGACCTGGAAGAGGAATGTAGGAAAGGATGCAAGGTCCAGGTGGTGGAATGGGTGCAGAAGAGGATTCTGACCTGGAGGAGGGGCTTAGAAGGGGATGCAGAATTGGGGAGGGAGTTGTGACCTAGGGCAGGAGGAGCTACAACATGGGAAAGAGGATTGGGTTTCAGGGTTTGGGAGGTATAGGAGAGAATTCTGATCTGGAGGAGAGGTGCAAG